GACTGGACTTGATGAACTTACAGGTCCCTTCCAGTCCTTTGCTTCTATGGTTTTATGATTCACTGGGGACCTCAGCCCAGGTCTGCCTGGACAGGGAGGGCAGTGCCTGCCAGGCTTCTGCCCCCCGCTCAAAGCTGCCAGGCTGAGGAGGGGGTGAGTTAGGAAAAACGTAGTGGCACTGAATTCATAAAAACTTGAACAAGAATAGTCCTCTCTCTGAAGTGAGCATGTATTAAACATAGAAATTCGCAACCTGAAGCACACATCAAAGAACTACCAAAAATCTTTGCCCAAGCTAAAATATAGCCCAGTAAAATACAGCAAGAACACACACAACTTAGTCTAGCTTAAAATGTAAACCAAGATGACAAGAGAAAGCCTTGCATAAGTCTTACATAATCCTGAGGGCAGACTGCTTCCTTACAGCCAGGTATTCAGAATGTCCTTGGGGAATCAGCAGCTGGTCTTAGGTGTTGAATGGAGATCCTAGGACTCACAGGTGGCAGGGGACCAGTCCCTCCATCCCTGGTTCCCCAGCTTTTCCCCCCTCTCCCATGGCCTGGGGGAGCTGAGGGGAATTATGCTTCCTCCCCCTCCCCTCATCAACTGCTTTCCTGCCTCAGTCTCTGACAGAGGAAGGAGGGGGTGGAGTCTGCTGGTCTCCTGCCATTTTGTAATGTAAATGTAGTTCTCTGCTTTCTTTGGTTACACCAGCCCAAGCAGTCCTTCTCAGGCTGTTGCCCATCTGTGCCCTGTGCCTTGCATCCTGCTTGAGCAGAGAGCAGGGGGCATGGCCAATACACAGAGCTAGGGAAGGGAGGGATTAAAGCCCCTCCAAGACCCCAGATACAAGCTGGGGTTTTCCTGGCAGGGGACAGTCCTTCTCAGGCTGTTGCCCCCTGCCCCCACTCCCTCTGCTCCAGCAGGGAAAAGTCTGGCAGGGGCTGCCTGTCCCAAGCAGACCCAGCTGTGGTCCCCAGTGGAGTTTCCCACCCCCACCCCCTTGTCAGCCAGCCCTTACTGCTCTAGCTAGGGAACAGAGTGGCAGAGCCAATCCTGCTCTCTAAAGCAGACAGCACAGCCCACCCCAGGGCTGCAAAGCATCCTGGGATGCTGGGGGACTGATTTAAACCAGGGAGAGGCCTGGGACAGAAGTTTCATAAACCAGTTTGACCTAAATCAGTTTAGTCTGATACTACATTCCACTAGGTTTATCTTAAACCAGTTTCAGCCATTTTGAAACTGGTTTATGTGCACTGAACTTCTCTTCTGTTACCAGTTTCTGACCACTTAAACTTGTTTATGTGTAACTTCTGTCCCTATCCCTTAGGTTTTTCCTTTATTGCTTACATCCCAAGGAGAAGCAGCATTACAATGGCACACAAGAAAAGGGAGAGATTCTCAAAGGAAGTGCACCTGTATTTGCAGGTCACGACTTTGAAAGGAGAGTAAGGAGCTTGGATGGTCCACTGAATTTCACTGGGATCTGGGCATCTAACCCCTTTACACTCATTTGAATATTCTGGTTGCTTTTAATATGAGGCTACTGAACATGAGATGTCTGAAACTTCTATACATATCTGCAGTTACATCTTACGAATACCTGGAATTTGAGCTAAGGAAATAACTACAGTATTACAAACAGCCACAAGAGGGAGATGGGCTCTCTTTCTCTGTCACACCTTAGTCAGTGTGGCGCATATTCTCCAGTGAGCTCCATCTGAATCTAAGGTTTACAAGGCATGCAGTTTTATATACACTCTATGATGGGATATATCTGAAATAATTTGTGGGGCTAGGACTTGAGAAGACTTTCTGCAAGTTTACAGTTATTAAGGGCAGACTGAAAGTTTCTGTCCCTTGAACAACAGAATATAATGCATTAACCACAGTAACTGAGGAACTATGCTGTCCTCATTGTGTAGAACCCAGGGATTTGTTATATTTTTAGTATGCATCAAAAAGAATAGATATATCAAAAGCTAACAAAGCCAGGGTAAAAACTGCAGGTGTTATAAGAAACTGCTTGCTTTAGCTGCTTGCTTTAGCTGTCTCCTGTCAAAAGTGCATGTTATGAACAATGGGAAAAAAGAGCATAACCAGACTAGAAATTCCAGGAGAATACGTTTTTTTCCACCACCGTGCAGAATTGTTGTACACAGTCTCCTCCATAATCAAGAAGAACTGAAACCACAAGGGTGTTTTTGTATAGAAAAAAAAAGAAAAGTTTGGGAACCTCAAATTTTGTGGTTTGTTTGAGTTATGGTGCAAGGGTTAAGTCAATTATTTCATGCCATGATAGTCAGATCTCTAGCAAATACAGCAACCAGAAATTCTAATCCATGAAAAAACAGGATTTAGAAATTGTTTTCATTTTGAAATCAGAGAACAACAGAACTGGGCATTTTCTATTAAAAGTAATTTTCAGAAAAAAATGTTGTTTTTTTTCCTGTTGATCACTTGGATTAACAAAACTGAAAGCATGCTATTTTAATTTAAACAACTCAAAGTAAAAGTGTTTTGGAAGCACAGAGTTCAAAACTTTGTTCCAAAAAATTTAAAAAGGAATATTTCAATCACAACAAGAATTTTCCCCCAAAAAAGATTCTCCCAGGATGTTTCATTTGGGGATGAAATTTGTTATAGCAAAGGGAGCATTTTGAGACATCGTAAGTTGAAACAATTTGAAAAGTTTAAAAATATTTTAAACATTTAATTCCCATGCTGTTAAATGAAAAAAAAATACATTTTGAAATTACTTGGTTTAAGAAAAGTAAAGTAAATATACCTCTAAAATTAAACATCAAAAATATGTTTGAATTACAAAAGAGAAATTAATTCAATCCAATTTCACTGGGGGTCTCTTGGGTCGGGAGTGGAATGTTCAAGATGGGGAAAAAAATCATCTCTCAAAAAGAAGAATCCCATACTATAGAAAAACTGTTTCATCCCCAACTCTAATTTTGGCCTTATTGAAATATTTTTCTTGTATTTTTTTTTGTCTAGGATACCCAATTTTGACTCATTACTGTGGAAAGCTTTGATTGCAACAAAACAGGATTTTCCAAACAGAAAAATGTTCCATTTTTTACTAGCTCAGGCAATAAGAGTGATTACAATTTACACTAAGGCCCCTTTATTTGATTCTGGCCACATAATTTACTCTCTCTTTAGGTCTTTTTATTCTACCAGACAAATGTAAGAAAGCTTTAATGTAAATGAGGCCACAATGCATTATTTTTATACGGGAAGGAATCCTATCCTGTCCTTCTCATTTTCAGTTCCCTTTCTACTTATCCTCTGCCCTTTTCCTCAAACAAATAACCCATACAAAGTAAAAGAGTCTTATATAAATAGGATCAGAGACTCAACAAGCAGCTACCCCACTGTGTTCTACAAATGATCTTGGAAGAGCCGTACATTAAACCTGCCAATTTATCCACAGATATCCAAGATATGCTACATGTAGATAGCTAAGTAGGTGGCCTAATTTTCAGAAAGTGCTAAGAAACCAAGGTCTGTCAAAATCACCCACTCAGCATTTCAAGCTGCACACCCAACAATTGTTGCTCCTAAGACCACTAGTCAGTTCTGAAAAATTTGGTCCAGTTCACTTATTTAGGCATATTCCGATGGAAATAAGATTCTAAGTTGGATACTGATTTGTTTAAATTCTCAGCCACAGTTCACATGACTAAACTGGCAGAAGTACATGAACATGCTGCTCTATTTAACAAATTCTGACCAGCAGTCAAACTTCAATCAGAATGGAAGTGACCTTACATACTGTCAAAAATAAAGCCTTTATATTGCTAATGAATGGTACTTGGACACAATTCTTGTTACACTAATCAGAATGTAATGTATCATCTCTCTCAGTCACTTAATACTAGTCCTAGACAGGTATAAAACTTTCTGAATCAGCTTCTCGAACAATCTAACATATTCCATGTTTTGTACTCACTCTCAGCTTCTAGCAATTTTTCTGTGCCATAAGAACAACTCTATTGTCTCCAGATCATTAACCACTGCAAAAGAATTGTTTTCCCCTTTGCTTTCTTAGCCAAAGAAGACAACCATGAAAATACAATCTCGATATTGTGACAAAAATAAGTCAATTAAATGCCATGTCTCATCTGACTTGTAAGCATGCGTTAGCATGGAACCGCACATATGACTCATTTGGTAAAGCACATGGTGGAAAAGTGACCTTTTCAGTATTCTGTATTTCACCAGTTTTGAGGCCTCCTGAACTGGGAAGGCTACAATCAAATTGAAAAAGGCAGAGAAGCATGACCTTTGGTGTGACATAAATAGTTGAATTTATTATTTGTCAGTGTGTAATGGAATGGATTGACTCAAGACTTGTGGACAAATTCAGGGTGCTGTTACAAGTTACCTTTAAACCATTCTAAAATCTGTGGACTGTTTCACAGTGTTAAATGTAGAACTATTTCAGAGAAGTCCTAGAGTAAAGGCTTAATTCTGTCTCTAACCTGCACAATTGTGACTCGCCACTAGAGAGCCCAGCAAGCAGGGATGTGGGCAGGAGCCTGGACTCTATCCCTTCTCTGGGAGTGGAGCCCTAAGCACAGAAGTTACACATAAACTGTTTTAAGGGATCAGAAACTGGCTTAAACCTGCAACAGAACAGAAGCTCAGTGCACATAAACCAGTTTCAAAATGGCTGAAACTGATTTAAGATAAACCTGGTTGAATGTAGTATCAGACTTAACTGATCTGGGTCAAGCCAGTTTATGCAACTTCTGTCCCTGACCCCTTCCTGGTTCAAGTTAAACCAGAGTATCCTAGCATCCCAGCATGCTCTGGAACCCTGGACTGTGTCTTTAAGGGGCTCAGTAATGGCAGATATCAGGGAAAATACTCCCAGTTGGATTGAGGGCAGAATGACATCTGAGTAATTTGCAATAAGGGTCTGTTTATTCTTAGTTTTTTTGGAGGGTTTTTTGTGCATGTGTGGCCAATACAAAATAGAGACACTGTATGCAACTCAGTCAAAAAGAACAAGCTCATTATATCCATAGTGATCTGGCAACTTTTATTGACAATCTCATGACATATGGCTTTGTGAAGCTCCATTGAAGGAGGATCTC